ATCTTCTTTGGCACTATTGTAAAAGGAATAGAGTCCTTGATTGTTTTTTTCAGCTTGACTGTTGTTGGTGTATATAAAAGCTACTGACTCATAAGTATTGATTTTGTATCCTGAGATGCTGCTGTATTCCTTGATCACTTCTAAGGGTTTTGAAGTTGAATCCCTGGGATTTTCCAGGTATAGGATCATGTCATCAGCGAAGAATGAGAGTTTGATCTCCTCTGACCCTATTTGGATATCTTTGATCGCCTTCTCTTGCCTGATAGCGATGACTAAGACTTCCATTACTATGTTGAATAGCAGTGGAGAGAGTGGGCATCCTTGCCTTGTTCCTGATCTGAGTGGAAATGTTTTCAATTTTACTCTATTCAATATGATATTGGCTGTGGGTTTGCTATAGATAGCCTCTATTAGTTTAAAAAATGTCCCTTCTATGCCTGTTTTCTTAACAATTCTGATCATAAATGGATGTTGGATATTATCAAAGGCTTTTTCTGTGTCAATTGAGAGAATCATATGGTCTTTGTTTTTTATTTTTATTGATGTGATGTATTATATTAATAGATTTGCATATGTTGAACCAACCCTGTAACCCTGGAATAAAACCAACTTGATTGTGGTGTATAATTTTTTTGATGTGTTGTTGAATTCTGTTTGCTAATATTTTATTGAATATTTTTGCATCAATATTCATTAATGATATTGGTCTATAATTATCTTTCTTTGTTGGATAATTTCCTGGTTTGGGTATTAGGTTGATATTTGCTTCATAGAATGTGTTGGGAAGTATTTCTTCTTTTTCTATGCTTTGGAAAACGTATAAAATAGGTACTAATTCCTCTTGAAAGGTTTGATAGAATTCAGATGTGAAGTCATCTGGTCCTGAACTTTTTTTTTTTTTTTTTTGCCGGGGCTGGGTTTGAACCCACCACCTCCAGCATATGGGCTGGCTCTCCACTCCTTTGAGCCACAGGTGCTGCCCTGGACTTTTCTTTTTTGGGAGATTTTGTATTTTTGATGCTATTCCAGTAGTTGATATAGGTCTATTC